GTTTTGTTTTGTTTTTCTGAGACAGGATTTTATTGTGTAGTCCTGCAGCTCACTCTGTAGACTAGAATGGCCGTGAACTCACAGAGCTCTGCTCTGCCCTTAAGGTAGACTATTTGAGACTTAGAAATAAACAACTCAGAAGTCTCAGGAAGTTCCTGAAACTTATCAAACTCACAAGGCTCCATTCTCCCAATGGTTATAGCAACAGAAGAGATGGGATGGCTGCAGAGGAGAGATTCTCTCACCTGTCAAGTTGGCTACAGGCAGAGAGCTCCAAGGCCCCAGCTTCTGAGTCTTCCTTCAGGCTAGGATGGGCTTTGGTGATAAAGCTGCCTTTAAGTCATCCTTAATTCTATGAGAAACACTTCACCCATACATTCATAAAAAAAAAAAAACAATAAGTTCATTTGTTACCAAATTGGACTTTGGTAGTATTAGTACTTTGTTCAGTCACTAGTTCCCTATCTGGGGTGAGCAGACTATTGTTCATGTCTCCCCGGAAATAATTTCACACCAAACCATGTTTCTAGGTTTTAACGTACTGATAAAGGCAAATTCCTAGATGAATGATGCTTACTTAGGTCAGGGCAAGCTAGACGGACACCATGAGTAACCTTGATGATAAAGAAATCAAAAAAAAAATTGGGAAATTTGTCTGAATCACTGATATGTATCTCTCAAGTCAGCAGTAGCTTCCTTTCTTGATAATCCAAAGACGTGAGAAACTTGACATGATTCATGTGAATTTATCCTTTGTGGCTGTGTCCTTCAGTAGCTGTTAAAACCTCACATACAATTGGATTTTTGTCATTTTAAGCTTCATGGTCTTCTATCTCTGCAATCTTTAATCTCCTGTCCTTTTTCGTATCTCTGGATAGTCCTTCATAGTCTCTCAGGTCACCTTCCTCCTTCAGCCACACACCAAGGACTTCTTTGTTGTAGGCCTAGCAGTAATTCTTGTTCCTGTCTGTGAGGGTCTGAGTGAGAAGTGTCCCCATAGGCTGATGTATTAGAACATCTGGTCCCCAGATGGCAGTACTGTTTGCGGGACCATGGAATCCTTAAGCCCCTTGCTGGAGGAAGTATATCACTGAGGACGCGCCTTGAGGATTTGTAGCCTCACCCAACTTCCTGCTCCCACCGCCTGCTTCCTGTGAATGGATGAATTCCATCCCTCTGATTCCTAACTGCCAATCCAGCCTGATGCTCCTACTTCTTTGCTTTCTCCAGCACAATAGACACCTCTGCCTCTGAACTATAAGCAAATAGAAATCCTTTACCTTTAACTCGCTGTTTGCCAGGGTCTTTTCTCACAACCTGAGGAAAGCCACAAATGCGCCATCTGCCCGGTAACTCTACTAACCTGTTCTTGTAGCCTCAGACCCACTCTCTGACTCCAAGATAGGTCACGTATATTCCTCTGGCAACATTGCCGGAGGAGCAGTTCCTGCTTCAATCAGGGACAACTAGACTCCTTCAGTAGCACTGGAGATTGTATCCCAAGGTGCCAAAACCAAGAGGATGTGAGACTGTGCTGTTGATGACTTACTTCTAGGCACTGCAACACAGAAACTGACTAAAGGAGATGGGGGAGAAGATTCTATTGGTGGTTCTTCTTCTTCCTCTTCTTCCTCTTCTTCCTCTTCTTCTTCCTATTCCTCCTCCTCCTCTTCCTCCTCCTCCTCTTCTTCTTCTTCTTCTTCTTCTTCTTCTTCTTCTTCTTCTTCTTC